CGCTCTTCGATTCATTGACCTCAATTCGCGATGCGAATAACGAATGTTCGCGGAGTATGTTGATTACTGGTTTTAAAGGAATATCTGAATACGTAGGCGGCGACTGATTCGATGTACTTCGACTTAGGTTTAGATGAAATTTAACTTTATTGCTTATGTAACGTTGCCGACGGGCGAGCATAATGTTTATGGGATAGGGGTATATAGGCAATAAAAAATTTATGCAGTCGCGTGAGTTCCCCGACATAAACTTACTACGTATGTATACCTCTAGGGTAGCCCCAGGGACGAGACGTAGTTACTTATTGATGATGCAAATTAATTTTTAAGTGATCGCTCGTGCATTGCATATGATTCAAGTACAGTGAAAGCCACATAGGAAAGTTCATGTTTAATTATTAGAAAAAAAGAAAACATAGATTTTTATTATAATGTTGTCCCGGCTGTATATGAGAGAGATTTACGTTCGGTTACACCCCCAGAGAAAGGTTTCTTCGATTCAAAGAAATGTTTCTTTGCTATATGGTTAAAGAAAAAATTTCTTTGATTTGAACGTCATTTCTTTGATTTGAACATAATTTTTTTTAATCAAATAAACAAATCAAAGAAATTTTTTCTTTAACCGTATAGCAAAGAAACATTTCTTTGAATGAAAGAAACCTTTCTCTGGGTGTACATCGATATATCAGTTACCATCATTACAAAGCTGGATGCATTTAAGGAAGGATTTATCTCTGTTTGATCTCTGTTTTGATATTCATTGTTTTATATAAAAATAATTTGCCCAGAAAAATTTATATACACGAATTAGGATCAGCTTAACTATTTCGAATCTACTAAACTGATTTTACGCCCATCTCGGCATTACGACATCAATATCTTAACCCCGAGCGGTTAACACGATGAACATTATCAGCCGACAAATCGCGCCGCAAAACTCCCTGCGGGTAATTCGTGCTCAACCCCAATCTCGTGCGATACTCGAGTCCCCCCGATCGAAGGGCACCACACCCTTGGCCGGTTCCGCGACGTAGCTGCGAGGGTTACATCGGGCACACATAAGCGGGAACGGTGTACGTGGTCCCCACCATTGGTCGGGCCGGTTCAGATTCATTAGCACGCGAACGGCGATTGGCCGGCCGTGAGGCGCTCGTCTTTTTGCTTTCCGCGCGCGTAATGACGTGCTGCGCGTCTCAGCCTATATGCAACCGAGCGATCGTGCATGGCAGATAGGTTCTGCCCGCGTCTGGCTGCATGTGCATCGCCCACCGCGCGCATATGTATATAGGAAGCAACTCGCCGAAGGTGGAAGATATCTCAGGGGGGTGTGGAGTTACTCGCATCGCAAATGGGCCTCCACCACGCAGCTCTGCCTCAAGCAAGCTACGAAGGGATATCTACGCCCTTTCTCCCTTCTCCGTTCACCCCCCGACCAGGGACGATTCTTCAAGGGCGGCTTAATAGTTCGATCGGGATTTTCACTCCCTGCATGAGGCTGTAATCGTAGAAAAGATAGGGTTGCTCGGAATATTGTAATTTCACGATGGGGGAGGATCTCGGGATTTTCATGTCTTACTTCTACCCTTTCTTTGTTATTATTACTCTTTAAATTTAAATACGAAAGGAATTTAATTCTACCAGTTTGGTAATCTTAATTTCAACAAAGATGAATATTTTATATTTTCTATAAAAGAAAAAGAATTGTTTATTTATAAGAATAATTTTATATCAAAATATGTTATTACATCATAATAAAAATGCATGAGATATAATTTTTTCAAAAAATAGCAATCTTCTTATCTTTTTTACCGTAAAAAGAACAAATTACTCTGTGTTGTTATATAATAACAAAGCCGGGAATAAAATCATTTTTTGTCATTCGCTTTTTCTCTTGTAGGCTATTACATGCGTAATCAAGCGCCAGATACGGTAACGTATATCCGAGCACTTTTGAATGTATAAGAAATTAGATACACGTGTATGCAAAAGAAGACACATTAAGGTGCAAATTTCTGTCGGCAAAGAAACACCCACTTAAACTCAAGAAAGATATTTTTAATAAGGATTTATGTTAATTCAAATAATTATGCGTAATATATTAGGTGTCTTAAGGCAGACACATGTTCTTGATTTTATTTAATAGCCAATTTACACGTGTTACATACGATCAGACTCTTATCATGTAATGAGAATATTGGTATTCAAACATTGCCTGATTACTTTCAGTACATACAAAGTAGCCTGCAGCGACGTGTAAATTTGATAGTA